AAGATCAATAAACAAAACCTATTTCTTGGCAGGCTTCTTCTTCGAACTAACAGACTGTTGTGGCTTGGGATGCTTTTCAGCTTCGCTCGGATCCAGCCACTTAAGCGCATGGCGATTGAAGAAAGGCCAATTGGGAACGGTGATCAAGGTGGTAAGCACCACGCCGCCGGCATAAATCAACACCATCATCTGAAACGATCCCAAAATGTAACTAGTAGCGCAGGCAACCACACCAGATACCAACAGCATTATCTGCATCAGCTGCTCCGCTAGTTTCTGCCCTTGCCAATCCATCTACAACACAATCCACATTCAAAGTTCAAGTGAAAGTTTTGTTAAACCCTAGATCGTTGATTTGAGATCCAAGATCAAATAACAGGTAGACTAAAACCCTAGAAAAATCACAAAATGCTAAATCATCGATCAAGAGATATTAAAAGAAAAACAGGAATCGAAGAAGAGATTGTGATAATCTTTCAAGAAACGGAAAATATCTTACTGGGGAAAAAATGGGCGAGGAAACGATGTCTGAAATTGGGAAGAGAGAGAGAGAGAAGAGGAATGGATATTTGAGGTTGATTTGGTTAGATATATTGCAGACGGAGGAGAATGGGATAATCGTCCGATTAGATTTGGGAGATAAGTGATAAGGGCAGTCGCCCTTTAGCACTTGCTTCACCACTCTCCCCTATTTTTTTGACACATAGCAGAAAGACTGAAAATTTTAACCAGCAACCGAGTGTATACTTATCAAGAAATTGAACACATCCGTGAACCTGAAAGAAATGACTCAAAAATTACTCCTTTTTTTTTTTTCCAGGAAAAGGGGAATTGATGTTTTGGGGGAAAAAAAAAAAAAAAAAGAGGGAAAAGAAAACCATTATTCTTTCTGCTTGTGAAGACGGGTCCGTTGGTAGGGATCAGTATCATATCATCGGTTTCTTCTTCATCATCCTGAATGCCTCTTCATATTGGGATGGGAAACGCTCATGGGAAAGCATGGATCTGGTGGGTTACGCTCTAGGATAATTCGGTGAACTCTCTTAAAATGTATTTTAATTATTTTTTATATGACATATAGAATTTAGCTTTTTTCTTTTTCATCACAAATTCACAATTTAAGATCATAATTAAGATGCAACTCATAATTAAGATGTATATGAGTTAGGGTGCATTTATATATAAATTTTACACATCACATTTATATAAAATTTTAATTATTATTATTTTTACTTTAATAATTGAAATTTATTAATTTTTTATCATATTTATTATATTTTTTATTTAAAAAATTAAAATAAATTTTAATTATTAAAAATAAAAAAAAATTACTACTAAGTAATATTGATTGAATCATTATAACCCCCTTAATATCGAAAGAGTGAATTCTCAATAAATGTTTTGGACTTGGAGCCCATCGTTTCTTCGTTGTGAGTGCCTGAATCTGTAAATCTGCAATTCCAACTATTCTCTATTCTGCAATTCAATAGTCTATATCTATATAATAATTACCATTACCAACCTCTGTTCTTTGTATTTTTACAATCAGGACACAGTTATTAGATCAAAGGGCACTACAATATTCAAAAATTGGGCAGCCCAAATTGAAAAAGATAAATCTAAAAGAAAATTATGGATCTCTCTTAAGTGACTTACTTAAGAAACTCAATTTTCATTTTAATTTTAACCATTTTCAAACATCTATCTTGCATACTAGATAGAGATTCATATAGTAATGTTTCAATGGTCTACATGGCAAAATTATTTTTCTTCAATTATGTGGATGTTGAGCCCGCACCTTCAAATTGATTGATATACGAGGGGGATACAACATAAACGCAACACTCCATAGAAACTCAGATAGGATCAAAATCTCCAGGAAAATTTGACAGAATATTGAACTGAACATAGTTTGAAAACAAAAAAGAGCTCTCCACTAGATCTAAATAACAATTCATTCTATTTTGAAAGAAAGGAAAAAGTGATCCCATAAGAAAGCAACATTAACCTCCCTGATTGGCACTCTGCTGACAAATCTAATGCATCACTCAAGAGGATGCACCACTGTGAAGAGCTTGGGACCTCTTAGACTTGCTAGTTGCCAACTGGGTTTCAGGCTGCAAAATCAGAATTAAACAAGTAATGATAAGAACAATGCATGACATTCTAACTTTCTACTCATTTCGCAACGTTTTTATATAATTGCATTACCTCTTTCTTGACTGGCTCCTCCTTTTCAGACAGAACCAACTCAATGTGACATGGGGAAGACATGTAAGCTTAAGAAAATGAACAGACATCAATTAGCAAATGAAAACATGCAAACAATAATTGGCAAGAATTGCAAGGTTATGATACTTACGGTTAATTCTTCCATGAGCCCGGTAGGTACGACGCCTCTGCTTCTGTGCCTGGTTTACTTGGATGTGTGATATATAGAGCACATCAACATCTAAACCTTTCACCTGAAAATTTTTCACACAACATTACAATGGCAAAAGGGGAAAGGGAATAGAACAATATCCATAAGCCATGACAGCCATACCTCTGCATTGCTTTCAGCATTCTTCAGCAAATCTAGTATAAACTTGGCAGATTTGACTGGCCAGCGACCTTGACCATTTGAATGCCTGTTCTTAGCCTGTGCGGTACGTCCTACCCCACCACAGTAACGACGGAAGGGTATTGCTTGCTTGTGGGCCATAACATCTTCCAAATACCTCTTAGCCTTGGTCAAAGGCAACTTCCTGATGGCATGGGCTGTCTCCCTTGTGTTCTATAAATATCATAGACAAACATAGTACAACAGGTTAGGCAACAGCAAGATGCATACTAGGTGCAAGGAAAGGATATATAACACGGAAACATATCAACAAAAGATAAGTCATTCACCATCAGGATGTAACATTCCTAAAAATAAAAATAGAAATCAGCTACAACAATTTCAAGGTTTGTACATTGAACTGAAAATAAATGGACAAAAATATAATGTAGCACCATTTATTGAACCTTTCGCCATTGATTATAAACATAGGTTCACCCAGAAACAATGCAATTGATGTCCCTGACGTCTACGAGAGACCCACTCATAGAGGGAAATGAGACCCTGCTTTTTTCATCAGGTTCCAGAGATCAGACACAGCAAAATAGACTTGTATGCTAGAAGCATGACATTATTGCATTCAACAAATCTACTAATTACCACTAAGAAGATGGATAAAACCATTTACTACATAGACCACCCAGAATAACAATAAAATTGCAATTATGCGAACACCTTAACAACCTCAAGACATAAATCAGCTAAAGCATTCAAAACTTATATACTCAACTAAAACTAGATGGATAAAAATAGTGGCATCATTTATTGAACCTTCAGCCACATACGAAAAACAGAGGTTCACCCAGTAACAATGCAATTTTATGTACCTGAATTTTACGAGAGACCCATTCATAAAGGGAAATAGGACCCTGCTTTTCTCATCAGATTCCAGAGATTACACGCAGCAAGAACATACACTCTTAACAATTTAATTTCATTGTGTACAACGAATCCACGAATTAACACCCATAACAGTATCCTATCCTCCATTCAATACAACCCAGATCGTAGAAAACCAGCTCTTAGATACACAAACAAGATCCATTCCAGTAAAATCCAAACACTAAAAATCAATAAAAACCCAAAAAAGGCATATCAATTTAACAAGAAAACAGCACTTGGTAAATTAACATACCTTAAAGTGAACCCTGAGATCAGAGCCCCTTGCCTTGCAGGCTGCAGAATAAACAACAACCATCAGCGCCTTAACAACAGCAAAATCAAATGACACCACCACAAGAAGAGGAACTTCAATCCGAAAATTTATAAACAAGCACAAAGAAGTACAGATCATTTGGGTAGTGAAAGGGCGAGGGGAATAGGAAGAACTAGATATTGTAAAACGGACTTACACTTGGTGGGGTTGTCAGGCTCTCTCGAGTACTTCACCTGGAAAGATTCAGACAGAACAACATACAGAGTTACAAACGAAGAGCATTAATCATGGATGAAGACAATGAAGAAGGTTTTTACCATGGTGGCGGCTGATCTTGTTGCTCCTTTCGCCTCTGGAGTGAGGTTTGTATGGTTTGGGGGAGAGGCTACTGGGATGGAATTAGGGATTCTGTTTATATAGAGGGTGGAAAATGAAAACCCTAGTCTAATATTCAGACACCCGGATTTTAACAGTGTCGGGCTGGGTTGTATAATATGTTTTGAACTGTTTCTGGCCTGATTTTGTTTGGGCTGTTATTCAGGCCCGTTAATTAAAAGCCACTGTGCCTCTTGGTTTCGTTGTTCATAATTTGTTGAGTTCTTACTTGGTGCCAGTTCATTTTTACTTCGTTGGAGTGATTGATTAAGGACTAATTTTATTGATAAAGTGATGAAGAAAACACTCTTCCGAAGAAGTTGGTAATTTTTACAATAAAATTTTATTAGAATTATATTTTTTTATTTAGTAAAAAATTAATATAAAGAAAATTAATAAGAAAGTTGTTTAATGGAGTTGAATAAATAAAAAGTTTGGGAAATTTTTTTTCCTTCAAATAATTTGAAAGGGAAAGTTTATTAATTGAAAATTGTATAAAAAAATAAAAGTTATAAATGTCATTTTGACCCTCCTTTAGTTGTGTTGGAATATGCCCAACATTCAACTTGGGCTGTACATAATAAGTCTAGGTTGTCGCCCATTAACACAAAATGAGGGAGCACAAGTACAACAAGTACAAGCATACCCACATGGGCCAATGAGATGCTTACATGTACAGACACATGTCAGCATTTGAGACTATAAATACCCCCCAACTACCTCTGATAAAGGTAATTAACCTTTATGCCTCTCTCTCCCTGCAATTACTCTTTGAAAGTATCTTTCTCTAGAATATCGAGTATTGCTGACTTAAGCGTCGAAGTATTTCCCTCGAGGTATTTCCCTCGAGGAAACATCCTCGGGAATTTCAGGTGTAGAAGCAGTTGAAGACTTCAATAATGTTAAATCGTGAAACTGTCTAAACAAGTTGTAATATTAAATTGTAAAAATACCTAAATAACCTTGAAAAATCCATGAAAGGGGGAAAGTTGGGAGGAAAACTTTCCTCCCCCCAATAAAACGCCCCTTAGGAGGGTGTCTGGCTGAGGAAAAACTTTCTCCTCTAAAGTTCTATAAAAAATTTTTATAGTTATTTATGTATTTTTATATATTAATATTACAATAAAAGAACGATAAAAGTAACATTTTTAATATTTATTTTCCCTAATACAATTTTTAACTAGTAAAATTTTTTACCTATCCATTTTGAAGAGAAGAAGTTTTCCTATATAATTATTCTTATATTAGACTCACTTAACATTTTTTCCTATTAATTTTGCCTATATCAATTTTTCTTATCAAACACAACAAAATTAATAATTGAACAAAATTCTAACAAAATTTCTTTACAAAACTTAAGAATTTTTCATACAATATTTTTTAAATCACTTTTTCAGTAAAAACCTTTTTATTAAAGTGACACTCATTTATTAATATTATACTATATTATACTGTGACTGTAGTGAAAATTTTTTAATTTTTATTATCTCAAAAATATATAAAATACAAATTACAATTAGTACTCCAAAAAGTATAAATAAAAAATTAATTAAGAGTTGTCAATTTACATTTTTAAGTAAAGTGTGTTATGAAAAAAAATATATATTGTGAAATAAAGCCTAAATGTGATGTTTCGAGGTTCAAGCTTGGAAGATTTGTTCTTGACACCCAAAAAAAAAAAAAGAAGAGTTACATTCTTTAGCATAGCCAATAATAAACTAATTCCTGATAATTTTTCTAGTTTTCAATTTGTATGATTTTGTAATAAATACTATTTTCCAAAGTTTTCATACCAAACATTCTCAGTGCTCATTTATGCTATTAGACAAAGAAAAAAAAAGAGGGGGGGTAATGCCGCTTCTCCCTCGCTCACTACTTCTCTTAGTCTCTGCCTGTACGAGAATTCCCTCCTTCCTTCTCCTTCTCCTCCTCCTCATCTCCCCTTATTTCCTCACTTCTTCTTCTATGTTATACTGATTTCTCCTGGAAGCTTCAAGTCAAGCCGAATGGGTGAAGACAAGAACAATGAGGATTTTACTAATCTGCCAATGTGAGATTGCGAATGGGATTTCAATTCTTCCTTCGCCTTCTCCTCATCTCCCTTTATAACACCACTTCTTCTTTGTTGGGTAATTGACATGTTAAAAAATGTACGCGTGAATGTAAAACGTGGGACCATGATTGTCGTACATTAGTTGTTTGATGAAATGCCACAATGAACATAGTTGCTGGGAACCATTCCTGCATCAACAGAGACTAAGAGAAGCAATGAGTGAGGGAGAAGCGGCATTACCCTCTTTTCTTTTTTCGTGCTTTTAAATAATAATAATCTAACGTGAAAAGCACGATCAGTTATCCAAGTTGTATAAAATGATGAAACAAAATGATTGTCCTAATAACATTTTCCTTTATATAATGTGCTACTCTCAACTTTTCATCCTATTCATCCTATGCCAATTTGGGAGAAATTAAAGCTCAAAATTTAATTATTCAGTTGAAACCTTGAAACACGAAGAATTTAAAAATGGAAAGACTATTCCTCCGTATATTTCATTCATAAGATGTATGAAAAACCCGAAGCCAGGAAGATTTGTCTTTGGTACAAACAATTTGAAGATTTACATTAATTATTAATCCATTCAGTAGATTATATTGAAATCATTGTTTGTCTGAGATTCGCACATCCAAAGGGTACAAATAATACTAGAAGACATAACTGGACAAAAAGCTAGAAGCAGCAGTTATATCTGCCCATGGTGGGAAAAGGCTTTTCAACTTCTTTGCTTCATCAACTAAAACTTGGTGTAGCACGGCAACCTCCACTCTCAAGTACTCAGAATTGCTAGCCTGCAACCCACATGAGAAGCCAAGATCGAATTACATATGGTGTAAGAATAAATTTTTTTTTTTATCATACTTTCAGCCACAAAGGGTTGAGAGCTGAAATGAGTAGTCAGAACAAGGGAAAGTCGGAAGATTGGTTTCAATATAAACCAACTTTATACTTGAAAAAATTTCAAGGCAAAACCGAATAGCCATATTCTTGAAAAAACTGAGTTTCAATGGCTAAGTTAAAGTAATATGGAGAGAGTTTTCACATTAGTGCAAAATGTAAATAGTATGCTTTTAAATCAAAAGCAAAAGTTTAAAACCGAAGCAGTCAACGTTTTCACCAGGAAAATTAATCCTTAAGGCAAGAGTTTGGTTTATTTATACACATACCACAAACAAAACGTAAGATTATATCATAATTATAAACAGCTTGCAAAATTCAGGTCATGCAGTTTGTAACTTAAACGAGACGGTCTTGTTATTACAACTGTGACAAATTTTGGAATTAAAAAACTAGTATTAAGGACTGAACTTTACCTCCAGCCAAAATTTCCAATTTTCAGGGCTGGCTCCGCTAAGTCTACATATGTATGATGGCGGACCACCATCAGTTGTTTCTGGAGCTGCAATTCAGAAAAATTAATCATGACACTGAGGAGATATATTTCTGCTTTAAAACATTGAAATGAGAATTAACTCCTCGTACCTGGAAGCTTATTTTCAGCAAATGACCAACTAGATAGAGGACCCGTAATGTTAAGGACTGCAACCCAAACCTCTTCTAATGAGCTGAAAAGATAAAAACAGGAAAACATGTGAAACTAAAATCCATAAAATCTAATGATGGAGTAATCAACAACTTATATTCCATTCATAAAAGGAAAAAAGTTCCTACAGCTACCAACATTCCTATTGCTCAAAGCATGATTATAAAACTGAAAGCTCCATAAGCAATGAAACTTGCGCAGGCATAGATAAGCTAACAAACACATCTCAGACTTGCTTTATTTTTTCCCATAGTTTTTGGAGCATAGAAAACATCTACCAACCATATTAGTAAAAGGCTAACAAAAGCAAAAACATTGGAGCCAAGAGTTAAATGGGTTATAATCTCAGCAAACAATCCCATTTGACAACTTTTTGCATGAAAATAGGGAGAAAGGATATTGTTTACAATTATAATTCAGAAACAATAAAAAAAAATGCATGAAAAAACATCAAAACTATAACTATTTCTGCTGGTCTAATCTTTCTTAACCTGTTATCCACATGCCTAAAATATGGTAACTGTTACATGCATATGCACACTTACAACAGCCCATGGGTAGCATGTGCCTTGCACTTTACTCACCCTAGGGAAAGTTCTAAATAAACTTTGCGAGATCCATCATCAGAAATCACTTGCGGTTTATAAGTGGACAAATAGGGGAAAGTTAGGTCTTTCTCCAAAATCTCATTACTTCCAGCAGGGAACTTCATGGTTCTTGAAAATAAAAAAGATACCGGAAAAAGTGCCTGCAACATACAAAACGTCAGATAAATATTTCAGATTTGCAATCCCCTCTTTTCCTTGTTGCTAGTTTTGCACGTAACAAATTTATTATCATAATAAAAAAGGCCAAAGGGTGCAGAACCTTTTGGTAGGAGAAAAATAAAAGAGAAGTAATGGCCTTCAAGACTTCTAAAAATATTAAATTAAAGAATCCTTTACACCAGGTGGCTTGCCCTTGGTTGGCAACATAGTTAAGAGAACAACAAACCCTGCTGTTCAGAAGATGACAGCCAGAGCATCAACCAAGACTACCAAGCCTATGAGGAGCTTTCATAGGATTCCATGACTTGTTTTCTAATGTATTTTAGTCTGGACAACCCTCAAGCATGATATAGAGAATCAATAACATTATCCCAGTACTGGTGAAGTACACACTAGCAACCCCATTGACAATTCTAAGGATAAAAATTCATGAAGAGCTTTTAGTTAGAATACAAATGCATTTAAAAGTTTGGTTAAGACATTCTAGTAAGGATAAAAAACTGGTTGAGATTGAAAGTCTTATTCAGTTGCCTGAAACTTTAATGTCACATACCATCCAAGTACCTCGGGGAGACATGTTAGCAGTCTCGAAAGAGAACTCTGAACTAATACTCAACTCCTTTGCTACCTCAGGTGCATACTTGAAAAGAAACGATAAAGAATTGGAATCCACCACAGAAAAATGGTAACTGGAATCAATGAGATGATTTGCACCTGTAAACCGAGAAGTATATCAGTTTTTAGACATTAGGACCTATCCATCCATTCAAAGCACACTCGCACAGTATAGTTAGAAATTCTAATCAAGAACTGTGGTCTTAGCAAATTAATAAAATGAAATTTTGCTAATGTTAGTACATCAATAACCGAAACTATATATTATACTCAAAACTCCAAGTCTCAAACACAAGTTTCAAGAGGCTTTTGAATAGTAGCAGCAGTTCTTCAGTACCTAAAGTTTGAAATGTGTGCTGGAAAACAACCCTCTTAGGTGCAGCTGTACTATATGGAAAAAACTGGGATGACAGAGCCATGGCAAGCACACTGAGATGAAGCAAAAATTGCAAGATTGATGATCTGGCCAGCCAATTACCACAAACTGGTATCAAAGGACCCACACACCAACCAGTTACAATTCCAACTATAGCTGCCACTACAATATCTGGAATGTAATACCCTGCAAGCAAAGATATAAAAATCATTATATGTTTTTTCAATATTTATAGTAATTGGACAGTCAAAGTGTCAAACTACTATAAAGAGTGAGTCAAACATTTCAGATTATCCACATTCCTAAAGCACAAAAATCAAAAGAACATTAATAAGTTCCACAACGACAAAAATTGGTTAGCATGTGATGCGAGGGTACTTGGGAAAAACCCTAAGATAAAACTTTTTTTCCAGATCTTTACCAATTTTCTCGAACAGAAGTTGATAACAACAGATTGAAGTTTGTAAAAACTAACCATAGGGGGGTGGAATGGCACCCATCATACCCATCTTCTCAATCAAAAATTGCACAAGAAACCCACCAAAGTAAACAGAGTATGTAAGGCATGGAATTAGTGGAAGCACATAAAAAACTGCTGACCTGAAAGATATAACTTTAATCAGACTACATTCAGTTTTCTATGCTATATAGCTTTTGTACAGTAGCAGTAAAAACCGGGATTTTGTGGTAGAGAAAGCAAAGAAAGAAAGGAAAGAAAAATAAAAAAGAGCTATAAGAACCTAGGAGGGAGATTACACTTAACAGGAATAAAGAAACTACAATAAACAACAAAGAACATTACACAATCTCCTAACATCAAGCTCAAGCTGCCTCTGCAGCAACAACCAGATTAGTATCTTTTATCCAGTTACATAATCAAGAAGAAATGAAAATGTCAACAGAAAATTTGTCATCACATGATAATTCCAGGTCATATGGGCTAAAAGTTTACTCAACTCTTTGCTGCTTTGGGAGAGAAATTAAATGGGTTCTGGAACTATCAATTTTTCTCTTTTCCATTAAACCATGCAAATAAGGACAAGCATTTATCCTTTTTTCCACTTAGCATTTGTCTATCCTTTAAACCCCCATAAAAGAAATAGAAAGGTAAAGCAAGACAAAACCTAAACAGTGGAGTGGATGAAACATGCTACAATTCAAGAAAGCCTGAATGAAAGAAAAAGCAAGGATGGCATTCGTCTTTTTGGTGTTGGAGAGTTGGTGATTAAGCAAAATACCTGAATGCTTCACGACCACAAGACTTGACTATGAGTGAAAAGAAAATCCATGCAATTAGCATAGACACATTAAAGAAAAATGTCAAGAAGCCTCCACTTAGGCCAGCAACAAGATAAGCCTGCCATTTCAAATTTTAGAATTTATAAAAGATGAGCAAACCAAAAAAATGGTAAAAACATTTTGAATTCATCTTCGCAACAAACAATAGAAATCACATTCCATACCAAAGTTACTAAAGCATAGAATCCAAATGCTCCCCAGAATCTTGCTTCATCAGATAGTGCCTGTAAATTCATATCAGGAACACTTTTTTACTAGCTTTCAACAACAAAAAGCTAATTCAAATTGTCAGTTGAATAATCAGGCTACTAAACAGAAAGTTAAGCATAGTTCCATTCCATTATTTGAAATTCAATTTGAAAAATAGCATTCACAACAATTGTGTTTTCTAATCTTAAGAAAGATCATGCTCCATAATCTCGTCAATCAATTAGTGAAACATCAAGGAAAAGAACATTAGCAAATGATACTTTAAATAGTATATGTTCCGAACAACAAGTTTTATATTGATTAAAAAGAAAAAGCAGTACAAAAAAATAAAGTTGCTGAAATGAATACCAGAAAAAAATGTTAGTAGTCTCCTCATTCTTCTTGGTGACATATAGAATGATAATTTTGATGGAGAATGATTCTCAATGTCTAACCACCTCAGAGGAGACTACCAGTTGTGACAGCAGATCCAAAGGGTCAATCCACCATAAGGACAATAAGTTATAGTAATTACCATGCAGTATATATACTGCTTCTCATTTTCACAAACTGGTTTTATCTTGCATCCTCCAATTTAGAAAGAAGCATAACATGTTAGCAAGAAATCTCTTCACAAAGGTAAGCATAACTGGGAAATTGCCATGCATACTGTGGATCCACTTAGATGGCATGTCCAGCATTGTGTGGCTTCATATAAAGTAAATGGTTTTTTTTTTCTTTCTTCTCTTGATAAGATGTAAAGTGAATGGTTAAGAAAAGAAACATCAATATCAGTTAAACTTACAAATCTGTATAGAATAAATAACATATTCTTATGTGCTGATTTACACGCGAGGAAGAACAAACCATGAATTTGGCCTGAAATTTACCTCTTTCGGTATCTTGCGAACTGAAACATCTTGGGATACAGGAAAAGAAAACCAAATTACTCTTGGGATCAAGAGACCAAGAAGTGAGCAGGGAATGAACATCATGAAAGCCAAGTATGGATTAGCAAACCTGCATTAATAGTGAAGCATGTCCATAAAATTAGAAAAATGCTCTTATTCAAGAGTATGGAAAACAGTCTTAAACTCATCTAACTTCTTAAATCAGCCTAATAAAGAAGTAAAAGGCAATTACATCTGTGTGTGTCTGCCTGTGACAATAGATTAAGACAGAGATAATCAATAAGGGAATACTACCAACCAGTTCATCGCATAGCTAGAGAATTGCAATCTAAGGATAGAAAACATAATTGGGAATATAATAGCCAGCAAAATTCCAGCAGCATGGATCAACATTCCTGCAACATTAACAAATTGAAGTTATACCAGCCTTCAACTCATTCATGATAACTATCACAAAACTATAAAAAATAGGAGCCATAACTAGTCAAATCAAAATAAAAGTTAACCAAATAATTAGGGAAATGGCATTTGGATTGTGTAAGGTATGTCTAATGAATGGTTTCAAATAAACTAACATCTGCATGGCTCAAATAAATTAGCATCTGTCATGGCTTTACCCTTTATAAAATCATAGAAGGTTGCAAAAGACGAATGTAGGCCAGAATTCAGCAGGCGCAAAAAGAATGGCATAACAAAGAAAATGGCAACAGGTATGCTATGAAGTACCACAGCTACCCTCCTTGAGTAAAATACCTGAGAGATTCACAATCAAAATGAAAATAATTAATATAGTCTATCACTTAAGATTGTGTAAATTATTATTTCAGAATAAATAACCCAATTTGCATATTATACATAGCCTACCATGAACCATGTTAAATAATCAAAGAAAACAGCTCGCTCATCGTTATAGTCGTTGGCACTAGCACCAACAGATTCTCTTTCGCGAGCACTTTTAAGCTTAGAAGAATTAGTGAAGGCCTTAAGTACACTAAACAAATTCTCTCCACGTGCTTGCATGCTTCCAGGTCTGAATTAAAGCACAAATTTATCGATTGAATTGATTAAGTACAAAATATAGAAGCCTCACTTTAGTTTATCTATACCAAAATAGCAGATGTAATGCATACAATAGTCTGTCCACAGTATCAAAGGAGGTATGATAATAATAACCACCAAGAAGAAAAATTATATCCAGGCCAGGAATATTGCCATAATCTTGGGAAAATATCCTGTAATCTGTATCTCCAGGAATAACCGGAAAAACATCCTGCAAAGACAAAATAATCTCTCACAAATAAGTCAATAGAAGAGAGCTGCAAATAAGGGGAAAGAGGGAGAGAGAGAGAGAGAAGTAGATTTTAAGGAAAAGAATCCATGTAAATATATATTCAAAAGAATATATGATTATCAACTTCACCACCGACTTTGTTAATTATAATTTGTAAAACATATTTGAACTGATTTCATAATAGAAGCCAATAGAGAGCAGTCCAAGAATATAAACATACACCAGATTAATTGAAACTAAACGAGGAAAACACAATGAAATACCTGAGCTGCACTATGTGCCATGGGATAAATTGCTGATTGGGCATAGACAAAAGAGGGCCAAGAACCAGGTCCAGACTGGCAAACTAGATCTATTATGTGAAAAGAATGAAAACTCAGCTAGTGCTTTGGCACCATAAATTACAAATTAACAAGACCAAAAAATTGTAAAATGAAGTTTCACATCCTCTGTTAAATAAAATACACACACACACACACAAAAACTATGGTCATTTTAGGAAACAATGATGATGAAGAGATTCAGACTGAGCAGAAAAATGTATTAGATTTAGAGTATATCCTACCAGGACCTCCTGTGCCAGAGGCTTCTACATTTATGAAGGCCCCAATTGAATCACGCCATTGATGTGTCTTCATAAAGCCATGAGAACCCTGAAAACCCATAAACAACATATGATACCATTAACCTAAGCCAAAAGGAATGAAGGATATAAAACAGAATATGAATTTGTAGACAGCAATTAACAAAATGATGTTAGCTGAAAAAGAATATGAAGTTTGACTTGGATTTCACCCTCCCAGTGACACTCAGGTTTCCATCTGTACGTGGGAAGGTTTCCAAATTTTCACAGGAGTTTTCCAATGCTTGCTCAAGAAAAGGTCTGGGTCTCTATTTCATTATCTGTCATTTTACTACACCTCAGAACTCACAAATTCTAAGGAGGCATATCAATATCAAGAGTAATTTGAGATGAATTTACAAAATGAATGAAGCATAAAATTATTCTTATTAACTAGTGTGCACACTGAAATGTGATCATCTTTGTGCAACAGAAGGTGTTTATCAACATTATTATAGGGAAAAGGGGTTGATATTTTTTCTGGAAGATAGCATCACATAGTTCTATGAATTCTAAAATGCACAACACGAATCTCTTCAGATACTGAAGACATTAGAGGAAAAAAAAATCCAACTAAAATACAGCTATATACTTCAAATATCTGTTTAAAAGGATGGAATGTTTATGTTCCTACTCTTGAACAAGTCCTCTTAAGCTAATGATTGAATAAAGAACTAACAAAAAAGAAAAAAAAAAGATGTAACATGACCACTTGGAAACCAACAACGATAAATTGAAGAGAACCTTTTACAAGATAAAAAGAAGCACATAGCATATAGGACCAGTAATTAACTAATAGTGAAAAGAAAATTGCAATCAAAGAAGGAGGTTAAACATTTAGAAGAAGAAAAAAATGCAAAGATATAAGAACTAGATTGGCACAGTAACACAAGTTTGTTGGAGTGGAAAACTAAGCAAGTTATATATACCAACAAGCCATAAATTATGCTCATTCCTCTCAACAGTCTAAGCTGGGAGATCATATAAATAAAATAATCTGACAGATTTTCCTATTCAAAAGCCTCTATTGTGACTAAATAAACTTTTAAGTGCACAATCTTATGTTCTGACAACAAGAATCATGAAATACAGGTGCAGATTTTAGAAGGTAATTTTGAGCTAAAGATCCCGAAAATTGTATTCTTATAGCAAAGTGAAAGTTATCTATAAAACCCCCATGGGCAAGGTCTTTTATTAATTAAGGGCAAAGGCAATGTCAATTGAAAGTCATTAAGAAGAAAATGGGAAAACAAGCATGTCATATGTTAGATAAATAATTTTTCATATGGAGGAAGGTGGTCTGGGTAATTCCCAATTCATCAGTGTAATAATCTATTGCATCTGAGAATTTACATTGACCTCACAAAAGGCCATAAGATTGCTGGTATTCACATAATTTCGCTCGATCACTGACACTTTTGCTTGAAGACGTTATGCAATAAAGCCAATGCATTTTTAACTCTGATAAATTATGCAAACATGTTTTCACATCTTAAAATGGCAGAAAGCTGAAATAATTCTATTCCAATTATGCATAAAATGTAAAAGTTAGAAACCTAAAACAAAGCATCAAAATCTCATAAGACTAGAACAGTAACAACTGAAATATAACTTACTGCAGTACCAAGCACAAAAAATGTAACTTATACCAGCAAAAAAACTTCTTCTGCACCATTAAATAGAAAAATAATAGGCCGAGGGGGGACCCATCCTGAATCAATGGTGAGTCTCGCTATTTCCAAGATTGATGCTGCAAAAACACAAAAATTACAAATAGGTATTTGAACAACAAGATACAAA